GGGGGGGGAAAAAAGGAAAAAAAAATAAAAAAAAAAAAAAAAAAAAAAAAAAAAAAGGTAATCAGAGCTGTTGAAAATCATTGTGTCTTTCTTCAATTCCTGCCAGTATATCAGCGTAATTTTCAACTAAACAGGCCACATTTTTAATCAATTACGAGGTCATTCGTATTTCATGAATACTTTTTGTGAGATTTGTGGTTTGGTGGTTTTTCCTGATGATATGATCATGGCTCAAAAAAGGGTTGGAAAACACTGCAGTAAAGTATTACCTCATTTTGTATCTGTATGTCAACGCACGTGTGTGTGTGTGTGTGTGTTTTTAGGGCGGGCACGGGCTTTTGTGTTCGTGGTACAATAGCAGGCAGGTGTTGGTGGCAAGTGTCACCTTGCATACCTCCACCAGATGTAGAGCTGCAGTTCTACTGGGGCCTCTCCTCACTCTGTCGCTTTATCTCACTCGGCATTGCCAATAATCCCGAGTGCCTTTGTGCAAACAGCAGCATCCCCCACGGGGCACGGCGGCGACGCGGTGAATAACAGGGAGCTCCTGTGCGGTGGTCTGCCAGATGCTTAACGTGACACACCCCCTCCCCTCTCCTCAACTTTACTTTACTTGTTGGGATCTGGTGAAATTTCACTCTGCAGTCAAGGAGGGCTGATAAGAAACCACAGCAGGGACAAAGTGCAGGGTGGTACACACACACTCTGCCAACAAGGGCGAGCTTCGCCTGCTGCCGGGCAGCTGCTTGCCAGTATATGTGTGTGTGTGATGAAACAGTAGTCCACCTGTTGCAGAAAGAAAAAAAAAACCCAAACGCCATGTGCTGCCTGGCGTTTGGCGAGCGTGGACGCGAGTGTGTGTGTGTGTGTGTGTCCATTTGCTATCAAAATTCATTCACACAACAGTTGCTGCGTCGTCGTCTTCTTCTTCTTACACAACAGCCTCCTTCCTCTTTCTACCACTTGCTACCTCTCACTCTCAAATATACGGAGGAACTACCTGATGAGTTGTCGACGGTCAGCGCCGACATATTCACAGTTTTCTCTAATGACAGACTTGAACACAAAAAAAAAACACTCCCTGCCGAGACAACGAGCACAACGGATGTACCGTGTGACTTTGGGGCCGTTAGCTTGATCTGTTGATGTGATATACATACTCTCTCTGACAGGATGTGGCGAATATTTATGATATGAATCGACATTGAAAGTAAAACAACCAACAATTTCGTGCCTTTAAAGACTTCATATTCTTTACATTCCTAATAAATGTGAACAAAAAAAAATCCAGTGTGCGAGCGGCTAACTTTTTTTTGGGGCAGGGGGGATGCTGCAGCAGATTTCAAAGCCTCGGAATGATTTTTTTTTTTCCGTCGTTGAGCCCCAAAGTTCTGCGGACTTCGTATCTCCTCCCGTGTTGACGCTCTGCTATGGTAATACAGGGAGAGACGACGAGGAACGAGCTACACATGCCGCGCCTGGCGTCCGCCCAAGGATGTTGTGGTCACATACCGCTGCAGTAACCCTACTATATATTTTTTTTTTTTTTATGACGTACGCTCTACAAAAGTCTAGTGTTTGCTTTTTGTTTGTTTGCTTTTGCCTTTTAATCCGCTTCCAGCTCCATGCCCGTGTGGTTTCAACCACTACTGTAGGTGCAACGTGGTCTCTGAGGCAACAACTGCGGCTCCACAAAAGCAAGGGAAGTGTGTGTTGATCGTCGCCTCACACCTGTTGCTAGACCCCTGCTAGATCAAATTACTTTCACTCTCCATCCACCAGGCCGTCCATGTGTTGCCCCCTGCCTCCTCTCCTCCTCACCTAGTCCTCTCTCTCTGATTGCAGAGAGGGCAACAATGGGTTCCTATTGGTTTAAATTCAGTCGAAAATCGAATGACAAAGTTCAGGTGCAGAGAGCTCTGCCTCATCACCTCATCCTCAGGTACTCCCTGATGAAGGCCGCGACTGATGAAAGGATCTGATAAAGCATCCTGGAGATGAGGTAAGGCTATACAAGAGCTACCTCCCTCCCTCCCTCCCTCCCTCCCGGGACTGAAGGACACCCACACCCCTGTTACTTAAGACTCATGGGGACAGAGTCAGAGTACACCAGCTTCTACTGGTTACATAGTGTTACAAGTGGGTGTGTGTGTCTAACTGTTATTGAGAGGCAAACATTACATATTATTTAGCATTTATCAAATTTTTTTTCCTTCCTCGTCTCTCTTCAGCACACGTATAAACCATCTCAGACTTCGTCTCCAAACTGCTCAACCGTAGCGGTCCATCTGATCTGCTTTATTCTAATCTTGTTTATCCCGCTCGCTCTCCTAATGAACATCACAGCATCACATCATTACCTCGGTCAACTCCAGCGTCCCCTCCTGGCTGCTTGACTCTACACTTGTCTCCAATCTCCAATACATCAACGGAAGATCTCACTCATCTATAGCAACAACGAGTCACGACTCACTAACGACAACAACGTGGTCGCTCTGACACCGTTTGAACCTGAAAATGTTTTTCGGGAAAACTTTCCTAAAAATGCGTCTTTTCTCCAAGCTGATCTGAGACGCTGAAAAAAAATACTTTAAGACGCTTTTACTACTTAATGCTGGAAGCTTAAATTATGACCTCAAAACCCGGGGTCAAACCTGTGTTTTTAAGACCTACGGTAGTATTTACATACACAGCGAGACTTTACAGGTTATATTCCGGTTTCTTATTGTGTTTGTTTGAATAAGGCTCTCCATCATCTCCGGTTGCCTTTGACCTACTAGTCTGTCTGTCTGTGTGTGTCTGTGTGCTCGCTTCGGGTCTGCGCAGCCCTCGGTGACCCCGCTCCTTGAGTTTGTGTGGTCAGGGAAAATTCCTAGCAGCTCTGTAGTGCTTGACAAGATTAGCCTGCTCAGCTGAGGCCTTCTAGCCTCTGTGTGAATGCTAGAATGACTGAGTGAGTATATGTGTGTGTGTGTGGGTGGACGGCTAATGAAACTTAAAAGAGGTCAGCAGTCACAGCAGGAGACAGGAGAGTGAGGTTAATGTTGGCGGGGCACAGTGGACGAAAGGACAGCGGCGAGAATGTCGACATCGCCTAAAATTGACCGTTAAATTTAAAAATATATATATTTATATATGCGAAATACATTCATAAACAAAATATCTTCTTGGTAAAGATAAGTTAGCCTAGAACGCTATATTTTTAGAGGGTTTGGAGAAAGGGTTTGGACAGAGAAACAGAGGGAAAAAAAAAGTCGTGTTTTTGTTTAACCATCCAGCCACGACTTGTATACATTTCTTCACCTGCCGTCCTCCTCTGTTCATATTGTAATTACAACCTCAGTGAGTGTTTACCTTAGAATGAAAGTAATTATAGGTCATAATGACTTTCCAAATAACACAGAGGTCAAAGAGTCTAGTGGAATCAGGCTGAAAATTGAAAGAAATTCAGCAGATATTTTCAAATATTTTTAATTTTTAATTAAGAAATTAATAATGGCTCAATGTTGTAATTACGTAAAAAAAAAAATTTATTTTTTTTTAAACTTTGAAAATCTCCATGTTTAGTGGTAAGAATTATCGATTCAAGTTACTTCATCTGTGCGTTATATCGCATACATCCATCTGATGTGGACCATATGGTATGTGTCACGGGTGGGCAGTCAGCCAGACAGAGGGGTATTGAGGTTTAAAGACCTGCCCCGGACTAAGCCACTTGGGCCTAACAGGATTAAGAGGTTGGGTTACTGCAGGGCATGTTACGGCTGAGACAATGAGACCAAGGTAACAGTTAGGACACAGAAACACACTGAGCCTTTATATATTCATATATTTATATATATACTGTATGTATATGTATGTATGTATATTTATATATATATATATATATATATATATGTATATATATATATATATATATATATGTATATATACTGAGCCTTTATATATAAATATACACATATGTACATACATATCTATATGTACATATGTATATGTATATATGTGTATGTATATATGTATATGTACATATATACATATATATGTATGTATGTATATATATATATATATATATATATGTTAAGAAACACGACAGACTAGCATGGGCTGCATCTGGGCTGGGAAACAACCTCCTGCTGATGTTGGCCTGGCTGACTACATTCATTTGTTCTGCTCTGTCACCAGGGCCAGGTAACCAACTGAGCAGCTGGTTCTCGGGCTGCAGGTGTACGGCAGTACTGTAGTATAACACTTAATTGTGATATCCTGCTGGGAGGTTATATGTTCTTTGGCTATATATATGGTCAGGTCAGAGCCCAGATTCTCTGCATATATTTTATCTATCCAGAAGGTCAAGGCAACACAGCAGTGAAGAACCCGTGGTACTCACGTCTCAGGAAGCGGTTACGGACCCATTTGTTCTGTTTTCGGGCGTAGCGCTTGGTGGCGACCTTTACAGCCGTTATACCTGGAGATAACGGAGATTTTACGGTGCAGATTAGAAGAGGAAACACATTACGGACGCCACTGTTTTTGGATGATCTGGCGTAGGTCTTACTGACCTTTTTCTCTGAGGGAGTCTCTCTCTTGCTGTGTGCTGCTCTCAGGGGCGGTAAGGTAGTCATGGAACTCTTTAAACCCAATGGACTGGAAAATCCCGTGTTGATAGTTTTGACTGGAATAGAGAGCAGAGGAAAGAGAGATATATGAACAGAGTAGGACTAGTGTCAATATTCAATCATCGCACCAGAGCCATTTTAATATCTTTATCATACACTGTACTTCACGCCACGACAATATAAACTAAAGACGGACGCACAACCAAACACCAACACTCTCGGTACTCAGTTAAGTGGAGGCCTTCTATATTTATCGTTGACAATCTCGTCCGTCTCCTGGGCGCGAGTGTGTGTCTAAGTGTACAAGAGAACTTTAATACATCGGATTATGAATAATTAATTAGTACATGATACCAGACAGGCAACCGTGTCTAATGTGTGCCATAAACAGAGACATGTGTTTATATCATCATACAACGTGTAAAGTGGTACCAAGCCTTCAATCAACGGTCTCGTTTTTTGTTTTTTTTTTAATCTACTAACCAACAATATACCAAATGATACAACTGACGAGGATGCTGTGACAGTTACTGTACTATGTCGGGGACCGTGACGTTACTGGACTTGCAGCAGAAACAAGAGCGAGCAAACCACAGAGAATTAATCAGGCTAGACGGTCCGAGACAGAAATTTGAGAATAGAGACAGAGCACGGGAAAAGTAGAGTCAATGGTGGGGTGGAAAAGAGACAGAGATCTGACTTGGACGTCTGGTCACATTAGCCAACCAGGAATAGAGACATAAGGGCAAGGGAGGAGAGGGGGGGGGAAAAAGGACAGAGAGAGAGCAATGGACGACAGTGTGAGTAGAGCCAGACGGGGAGTGGAGTGCCTTAGTGATCAGATTGCTGAGAGGGCAATAGCGTTAGAGAGAGGGGGAGATAGACGGAGGCAAAGGGAGGGAGAGAGAGAGAGAGAGAGAGGAGGAGGAGGGGGAGGAGACAGGGATATGAGGTTCGATGGGGTGATAAAAGTAAGAAGGGAAAAGGCAGCTTCCTGGGCATCACTCCACCGATGCATCAACCCACTGCAGCCACACCCCAAGCACACGCACGCACACACACGCGTCCTCTGTGGTTTTAGTGAGGAGAGGACATACTGCAGTTCCCAGTCCCTTACACTCACAAATAAACCATATTTCTTCAACCAAAACAATCTCAACATCTCAAACAATAGTCATCAAATGTAAAAAAAAATCACTAAAAATTATAACCAGGGATGAAGGGTTCATTCTCTTTTAAGTGCCCTGCGTTGGTTTTTATTGACATTGGCAGCTGAGAGGTAACCAAACTCGTCTTAAGAATCAACCGACCAACTCAAAACGTGGGGAATCGCACAGTCGTGCTAATGTTCCTGACAAGGTCAGTGTTCATACCGACCCGCTCAGGTCATTTTAGGTACTAACACGGACCACATGACGGGATGAAAACTGAAAGTCCCCTTTAAGACTCTTCAAACCACTAAGATGACACACACATAAAACACTCATTCCTCTCGTGTTTTGCTTGTTGACTATTCGGTGCCATTCGCCGCATTTCTGATTTTTTTTTTTTTAATCACAGGTTTGAATGTTTTGCTCACACAACACTGGTTCAACTGTACGGACTTTTCCAGGTTGGTTATATGATGAATTATAATAATTCATTTTAACTGGCTACAAATGGCCTGTTCATAACTGACAAAACCTGGGGGGAAAAGCAGAGATTAAATGTAAGAAACTATTGTGCATGAGCGTAAGCACTGTCTAACCATATGGTGAGTGGGTCGCCGGAAATATCCGGAAATAATTGTGAGAATTGGTTTCTGCCAAAACAAAAAGTTGCTAGAGAGTTGTTAGACACAAAAATAAAGCTCAGCTGAAAATCGATGGTGCGCGTGTACATTCGTGAGCACAAAAATGTCAATCATGACATTTTCCAGAGCTGTAATTCACGGACAATTACGGAGTCCTTTTATCTGACAAATTGTTCCGTGGAACTGCACATGCAGAGCTCCAACACAGGCGGACAAATGTTCTGTTGTCTCTGCGCAAACATCAGCGCGACTGCGGTTTTAGCAGCGGGACACCTAATTCTTGTGGTGAAAATATAGTTATTTAACAATTTGCTTGATTAAATCTGACAGATAATTTTTTTTTTTTCTTCGGGCTGTCAATTTGCAACAGGTTCGGGATGCTAGACATAGTTATTTGAAATTGGAAAGTGAGCTGCATGAACGGGTTTAATGCTGTTGGCAATAAAGCTCTGTGTTTTCTACTCAGTGTCAAGTGTCATTAAGTTAGGAGGTGTTAAAATTCAGATTCGGCAGATTAGCAAACACTTTTATTAAGTCTAAAACTCTCATATTTCATCATCATTTGTAATTGCACCGAAACCATTTTTCTCGTTCCAAACAATGTGAAAAAAAAATCGTCCTGAACCCCCCGGGGTAATAATCACCAATTTCCAGACTCCCCTGGTAGCACTAATGTCCTGTACCTTATCTGGACAATTGTTAATAATCACAGAACATCCTGGAGAAAAAAAAAAAAAAAATTGGTCCCATCTGATTTAAAGTCACAACAGTGTTGGGCTGTATCTAAATTGGTCTCTGAGCCTCTGGGAAACAGGAACCACAGAACGGAGTGACCTGTCAGACTAGAAAGGAGAAATAAATAACACCCAGGCTGCTCAGCCAAATTACATCCACCCCTAGAAACCTGGTTGCTTGGACACGAGGACACTTAGAGAAAAAGTCTCACAAATGAGACAGATGTTACATGGAGAAAAGATGGAGAGAGAGAGAGAGAGAGAATAAAGTATGTATCTACATGCTCATTATATGCTAATTGCTATTGCTATCGTGACAGTTTACATACATTTTAATATTTGACCCACAGTAGGAAATTCACAATATTGTTGTTTTGATGAGAAAAGGAAAATTACACTGATTCAAATGAAGCTGTGAAAGTGTTGACCCGGTGGGTGGGAGGGGGCTGACCTGTCGTCCTGAACCCTTTGCCGGTTGTAGCGAACGTGGAAATCCCTCAGCTCCTCGATCAGTCCCGCGGACAGCATCTCGTCCACGCGGGCGTCCAGCCGCTCGTCGAGGACTGGGGACAAATGCGATCCGTTAGTGTTTCTGCCACGTTCAGGGACATCACCTCATGTCGTGTCTTACCCTTCATGTCAGACTGTAGCCAGAAAATGCACGGATCCGGGTATCGGAGCGGCCCTCCTAGACCACTGCCTCCCACCTGCCCCCTCTGCTCCTCCAGCCAGTGGCTGTGCGGGACGCCCGTCTCCTCGTGGACCTGAAGGCTCCTACAGGTTGGGGTGAAAAATAATGAATAAAGACCAGTTTGTGTGACGTTTTTCACCCTCACGTGTCGTACAGGAAATTGATGAAAATGCTAAATTACAACTAAATGGGATAAATAATAAAATCTTTATTATGTAAATATTATATGTCTTTATGTGTCATTTTTATATTTTGCAGCCCTGCCTGGCTGCACGTTATGATGAAACGATGGTTCCCATCTTCCTCTACAAGCTAGCAGAGCAGGGTAACCTAACCTGAAGTCTTCACTGTGATGACTGCTGCGTATCCAGCTGTGCCAGTGCGTGGTTGTGCATGTGTGTGTTCAAAAAAGCCACCTCTCGGGGGCTTCGTACAATACAAGAAAAACACTCTTGACATAACAATCTGTGCTTCGCTCGGAGACAGACAAACACGGCTCCGTAAATACACGGATTTTCATCACCGTGTTCCCTCGAGGAGAACAAAAATCACCTGGCGATCTTGCGTTTGTCATTGGGGTGCAGCATGGTGGCCATTTTGGGATCCACCTCCGCCAGTCGTTTGTGTAACTCCGACCCGTCAAGCGCTTCCAGCTCCGACTTTCTCTTGGCCGCTGCGTCGCCTCCACCTCCGTCTCCAGCTTCTTCGTTCTCCTGCTGTGTGAGGGTTTGCATACTGTTACACTGCAGAAATGGACATTTACCCACAAGGGACGTCAGACACTTTGATTACTCTGACTTCCTCTCGTGTTCCATTGCTTTGTTTATCATAGGGGCATTTCTGTGGCTGGCTGAGCTTTATATATAGTCAGACTTTCTCACCGCTGTGTCCAACAGCACTTTCCACAGCAGGGACTCGATGTAATAATTAGTTCCTCCGACAATGACTGGCAACTTGTTCCTCCGGTGCATGTCCTCTATGTTCGGATTGTTAAGGAGTGATCCGCAAATACAGACACAAAGATGGCAGGAGGAGGAAGCAGCTAAAGTGCAGGTCGAGGTCTAAGGTGACAGACATGTTGAATGAAGATTGACAGGTGAGAGGAGGGGGCTTTTCAAGACTGTCAGGCCACCCATGTTATTACACAGGCACACATTACTGTTCTTTGATCTGGATTCATGTCTTCCCTCGAGCCGACTCGCTCTGCACTCAGCCTATTCTTGGAGCTCCCGCATACTCTCAAAAGAGAGAGCAAGAGAGAGTGTGTGTGTGTGAAAGAAGGGTGTGTGTGTGTGTGTGTGCGTGCATGCATGTGAGTGTCATCCTCAGCTATTTATACTGCCTCCACTTATCGCCTTCTCGTCCGCATCTGGGTGTCGACTGGGGTCCGCACGAGGGTGCGACTGCCCGGAGAGAGAAGTGTGGAAAAAAGTGTGCATTCGCGCTCGTGTCTAAAAATACCTCCTCTAGTGATCTCTCTACTTTCACTGGAACATCTGCAGAGAGACACCTGCATGGGACGGGAAGGTAAAGTAGACATGACATATATCGATAAAGGATATCAGAGTCTGGGCCTTGTTCCTGAAGTCCACCACCGTGTAGCTGCTGACCAGCGGGTCCACAAAGCCGATCATATGATGCTTGCACTGAGCCAGCTCCTCAGCCGTCACCTTATTGGTTATGATGTCGAGGCCCTGATACACCTGGAGGTGAGAGAAGGGAAATGTTTAACAAAAGGGCCCGAAAGGAGAACTTGATTTATTTACCGTTCATCTTAATATTAGTCGGAGTGAATGATATAAACGTCTGTCATCACATGAAACCGAACGAACTCAACACACCTCAGGACGCCGGCCTACTTTGAAGCATCTGTGTGTAGTCTACAATCATCCATTCAAGGTATGCGTGCGGTTCATTAAGTGAATCAGCTCCGCCGTCGCCAGGAAAACTCTTAAATCCTCGCCACAGAAACTCGTCGTTGTCTCTGACCTAACTTCAGGACACTGTTGTTTGAAGAATCACTGAATCACCCTTTTTTTTCTGCTTTTTTTTTTCACTTTTTACGTTCACAATAAAGCAATCCTTCCCCACTCTTTTACTTTTGAGAACTCAAAGGCCACTTTTTTTTCCACTAGTGATTCAATGCACTGATGTTGATTACACTGCTTCGTGCTATTTTGAGAGCAGCCTCTGTGCCCAGTCTGGGAAAATGCAGCAGCCAGACTCTGGCATGATGAGAAAACAGAACCACTGAAGCAGCTAGTTTAAAAAAATAAAAATAAAAAAATTATCATCAGTCAGACACTACTTGTCTATGTAAATGTAGTAGGAGAAAACTATTACAAAGTACATCCTCAATTTGCAAAGTGAACAACAAAAGGAATAATTAACAAAAGCATGTTTTAAAAAAAATCAAACACAGAGAATAATTTATTCTGAATAATTAGCTACTGATGAAAATTTTTTTTTTTAATTTACCACTGTAAAAGATATAAAATACAACAGATAATACTCTGTTTATAGTACTGGCCAAAACAAATTTCTAAGAAGGAACTAAGTAGGAGGACTTCTACTTTTCCTCCGTGCTAAATGAGCTGTTATGCCGTTCAGGAGACAGATCCTCGTTTCTATGTGTTTATATATCTACATCAACAGAGACCTACAGAAGAGCAGGAGAAGGAGGGAGTGGGTCCAAATGAAATTACAAGTTTCAAGCTGGGTGGTGGTGTTGCAGAATTCATGTGGTGGCCAAATCGTGGGTTTACAACCTAACATTAGCTTTCCTACTTCTGAGGATTGTGTTCAGTCACTGCAGCCCACCATATATGCTTCTGAACAAAACAACTTTGTTTTTCATTCGACGAAGCATTTTGCGGTGCGAGGCGGGACCACATCCTCTCGAACGCCATCCAACTTTGTAATCAAGCGTCTTCCACCCTAAGTCTGGTGCTGCTGCTGCAAAGTGCAGTGACACCCAGCTGAAGCTCGTTGGTGCGCTGATTACTTAATTGAACTGTGCAGTCGGCTTACTGATCCTGTGTGTACAGTACTTTTTCAGGGCCACAAAAGTGTGGGGCAGGGCAGCACAGAACAAACAGGCTGATAAATTATTCACACGAGTGCACAAGGTCCACTGTCTGCCAAGGGATGGATGGATGGAGGACAGATGGACGGATGGATGGATGGACGTAAGACAGATAAACAGAAGAGCGCTATGTACTTGTTACAGAGAACAGGATGCTCCCTGACACATTTGCAAACATTATTCAACACAGCCCATCCTTGATCAACACCGCTGAGCCCAACACACACACACACTGACACACACACACTCTCACACATTTATGCAGATTGTTCAGAGAGAAGAGAGAGATTTTATTTTTGCAAAATAAATACTCAGCATTCTCCGAATAGTACAAAGTCGTCGGTTCGAAGGCTGTTCTTGATTTTCTTCATCAATGTCAAGGTTTTGAGGTTGTTTTTTTCAAACATTTCTCGGCAGCGTAAGGCTTCTACGGGCGAACGGTGCGTTTAATGTGGTTGTTTTCAACTCTTTTCAGTGACTCTTTTCCTGTGAAATATCCTGTATGACACACAAAAAAAAACCCTAACCAGCGCAGAGACTTTTAACCCAGTAGTCTGTCATGAGTGTCTGATTTACTACAATTTAATTTCAAAACCTTGCTCATTACTTTCTTTCCACAGAAGTACACAGAATAAAAACAATGAGTGTCTGGGAAGTAGCTGAAACCCCCCCTCCCCAAAAAGAGTCATAATTCCCGAAGACACACTTCAGAGGAAGCACAGCTAACATGGGTTCAGCTGCCCACGCTCTCCTGCCTTTTTAATGGGCATGAATGGATGGTGACGGTGTGGGCCGTGTGCATGTGAGAGGAGAGAGGAATGCCTGTGTGTGAGTGCGAGGGTCGGACAATGAGCTCAGTGTTTGTGCTCCGCAGAGCCTGCAGCCGGCCGCCCTGCCTGGCAAACCTTCTGCCCTGCACGAGACAGCTGTTACGCTGCCACATAAATAAGGAGGAAGAGGAGGGCAAAGAAATGCGCAAGGGCAGGAGGGAGACAGAAAAAAGAAAGGGAGGCAGAGAGAACAAACACTCATTCAACCCGTGGAGCGAAATGCAAATGCGAACGCTTTTACCAAAAATATTGAAATAAAATAAAACTAAAAAAAGATAACTGTGGAGCCTGTCAACATTTTAACTCTAGTTTTTGATTCAATTGATGTAAATAAAGGCGGTAACATCGGAATTACCTTTATAAAGTAACTTTCTGGCGTAGAAGCTCTATCGCTGAGCAAGTAATCTGATTATTAAACTCCACCTGTTTTAACTTTCTTCTAGGAATCTCTACGAAATCTGTGAAAAAGACTGGGTTTTCAAGTCATCATCCCTACGTAAACTGGCCATTTCTGCCTTTTATTTACAACCCGAGTGGTGTTTTCAGCCGACATGTTTGGACTTCCATCAAAAACAAGGAGCTGCGGTAACGTCACCACCTGGTCAAAAGAGGAAGACGGAACAATGTGTCCTTCCTTTGACCCCTGAACAAAGGTCTCACCGTCAGACTCCACATTCACACGATTCAGAGTCCCGTTTCCTTCCTTCATTTTGCTTTTATTCTCCCTTTACCTCTATTTATACTATTCATGGCATTGTTCAACAATTCATATCTCCCTCCATCCTTCCGTCTCTCCTCTCCTCTCCTCTCCTCTTCTTCTCTCTGTGGGGAATGGCCCAGTAATGCCAGACTAATAAATCATTCATGACACCCCCCACCCCCCTGCCCGCCCCTCATCATCCTCCATGCTGCCATCCTCTTCTCCCTTGTTGCTTTACTGTAGCGGTGACCGCATTACCACACCCGCAGATTGCAAATCACATACGTTAAAGACCAACAAGTGCAAGTGATCAGCTCTCTTTTTTTTTTTTTAGCCTTGATCCTGCACGGGCCTCGGAGATGGCATCAAAAGATGCATCATAAATGGGATGTGGGAGGCGGGAGCAGCTTTTGCCTCAGTTGCAATACAAGCAGAT